CCTGCTTTGGCCTATATAGCGAGGCAGAATATAGCGAGGCGGGAAAGCCAAACTGAATACAGGGAGAAAGAAGGGTAGAGTCAGGAGAGATGCAAGCCAGCATCCCAAGAGACAAGATGTCAGAAGACTGGTAAAAGCCACGACCATGTGGCAATACATGGATTAATAGAAATGGGTTAATTTTGCTGGGCGTTGGTGGCACATGCCTTTAATCCCAGCACTCGAGAGGCAGAGGCCAGCCTGGTCTCCAGAGCAAGTGCTAGGATAGGCTCCAAAGCTACACACAGAGAAAATCTTGAAAAGAAAGAAAGAAAGAAAGAAAGAAAGAAAGAAAGGGGTTAATTTAAATGTAAGAGCTAGTTAGTAATAAGCCTGAACTGTAGGACAAACAGTTTGTAATTAATATTAGACCCTGAGTGGTTATTTAGAAGTGGCTGTGGGACAGGGCAGGACAGAGAAGCCTCTGCTTACATCTTCTGACTTTCACATGCATGCTTACACACACACACACACACACACACACACACACACACACACACACACACACACACTGCATACACCCATACATACGTAAAAAACACAAACTTTTAGGAAAACAAAATTTCGGGGCTGGAGAGATAACTAAGCAGTTAAGAGTACTTGCTGCTCTTCTAGAGGGACCCAAATTCAATTCCCAGACCTCATAGAATGGCTCCTAACTGTCTGTAACTCCATTTCCAAGGGATTTTGTGCCCTCTTCTGGCCTCCTCGAGTACCAGGCACACAGGTGGTACACAGACATACATACAAAGCAAAACAAACATACACGTAAAATAATTTTTGAAAATTAAAGATCCTGCCAGGCAGTAGTGTCGTACACCTTTAACCCCAGCACTCAGGAGGCAGAGGCTGACAAATCTCTGAGTTTGAGGCCAGCCTGATCTTCAGAATGAGTTCCAGGGCAGCCAGGGCTACAGAGAGAAACCCTGTCTTGCGGAAAAAAAGAAAATTAAAGATCCATAATCATGATGGTGGAACATACCTATAATCCCAGCATTTAGGAGTCTAAGGCAGGAGGATCCTAAGTTCAAGGCCAGTAAGATCTTGTTTCAATTTTTTTTTTTCTCAAGACAGCATTTCTCTGTGTAGCTTCAGCTGTCCCAGAGTTTGCTTTATAGAGAAGGCTGGCCTTGAACTCACATAGATCCACCTGCCTCTGCCACCAGCATACTGGGACTAAAAACATATGCCACCCAAATCACCCTGCTTAAAAAATTTTAGATGTCTCGCCGGGCAGTGATGGTGCACACCTTTAATCCCAACACTTGGGAGGCAGAGGCATGCAGATCTCTGTGAGTT